CTGTACCTAGAGTCGAAGCAAGACTACAAAGGTTAAGTAAGTAACTACAAGTTAGAGGTAAAGGTAACAAAGTACTCACTCTTCAGTCAGTAAGGAAAGACTGAAGAGGGAGGACGCAATCTGAAGTCCTTATATACTACAGAGAAGTGTCCATGACTAATCGAAGAGTGGTTAGTCACATGTACCATAGTGCAATGAATAATACGATGGTGAAAGAATTGCGACGTATCGCACCATAGGATGAGTAAGAGATGAGTAAGGCATAGACCTGTCTAGACCGTTCTGGAGTAGTACGGATTGTCCTAGACAGTACCAGAAGAGTCCGGAAGCATAGCTATAGTACACGAGCAGAGAGTCCCAAATATGGTAACATACTACATAAGCGACTACAGCTAAGCGCTAGGAGACGCATAGCCTCGTGTAGTCCGGACCGGATAAGTCCAAGTTCAACACGCAGCGAAGAGAAGGACGGAGATCAGATGAGTGCTGTGGCGGATTGACAGAAGACGACAATCCGCAAATCCCTCTATTAGTGTGCTTATGTAATATGACATAGGTGTACTCATGCGGGAGACAGCCCTGTAACATCTTCCAACCTCCTCTCATGTGCCCCGCATTTTTATTGTAGACCACCAGATATGCCTGCGCCTTCACCTACTCCATCTCCTCCGCCGACCCAGCAGAGGCGGCATAGGATAGCACTGTCTCAACGTCAATCTCCATCACGTTCTGTCTCGCCGTCCCCACCTCGTTCTCGTTCTCGTTCTACCTCTCAATCAGTCTATAATCGCTCTCACCCACCAGATCCATACAGCTCTCGTTCTCGCTCGCATTCACACGTATATCAGTATGGTACATCTTTCTCAATTCCGAAAACACATCCCCGCGACGCTACGCAGCGTGTTGCCCGGCACTCTGAAAATTCGCAAAGTCCCCTTGTTGCCCCCTACCAGTATCCCTCTCCCCACATCTATAACTCATCTCTGGAGTACGAGTCTGCATTCCCTAATACCTTACCAAGCTTGGCAAGCTCCGCCTATCTGAATATATGCGCATATACTAACTGCTTCATAGGAACCCTTACAGTCTTCGGCCTCCTCTAGTCAGTCGCATACATCCCTTCAAATCATCGAATTGGGGCTGCGAATGCAACGTATGGAACAAGAGCATTTGCAATTCCGGTACGGAGACGTCTTCCCTACACCCCTTCAGTTTCTCATCATGACCTCTATATAGCCACCAACTCGCAGCCATCCAAACGCACTTGATCACCGGCAAGTGAGTCATGGTCCGCCACAAGCAGATACACATGCGGTCCCCACCGCCGAAATTTGATCAAGTCCGTGCGGTCATACCAACGACCGACAATGGAAATCACCCTGACGGGAGCCTCGCTGACGGTTACGCAGGATGGGTCTCGTGCATTCTACTCACCTCCACTCCTTTCGCAGACATCAAGCCCCTGGCACCAACATCTTAGAGGCCCCAGAGGACAACCGAGGTACTATGCGTCTGACTGCCTGCATGTGCTCATGTCCGGATGACCTGTCTACAGCCACTCTCAAGCGCTTGATGATGGAGTCCATCAATCCTACGGAGGTTCTCGTAGCTGGTGAGGAGCCTGGGCACGACTGCGAGCATCATCGAGAAGACTTCCGCAAGGTACGCTCCGCCTTACTCGCAGGTCCCCAGATGCATCAGTAAACCTTGCACTTACTTAGTGCCTTAAACACCTTAATCGAGGAGCTAAGATGCTAAGTACCATTAAGACACCAAGCTCCATTAAGCCAGCTGAGTTGTCGCTCGAAAGATTTGCTCGTTTGCGGTAGCACTAGTATTATAGCCATGTATTGCTAATGAATGGTTTCGTGCGCATGATAGTCTATGTATCTGTTCACATAGTAGGTGCGGAAAGCATCTAGAGTGTCCGAAAAATGAAACGTAATGGGTATACGAGTTGTACCGAACACGGGCATAAGATGGCATGCACGGACAATACAATCAATGGCAATTACACCGACGGCGCGTTCGCCATTGCCGAGTATCTCAGGCTCAACAACCCACAGGCCCGTAAGGTCATCAGGCTCATCGTTGTGAAGGAGGAACCACTCTACGAAAGCACATTCATACTTTGTATCCTCGAACATGAAGCTAAAAAATAAAAGGACTCGTGCAACGACAATGCTCCCGTCGGAAAAGGAGCCGTCTGGTTGTAAATTCACCAAGACAGTATCAAAGCGAGCATACTGACCGTGCCACAATGGATTGCATCGGATGACCTCTCGATGCATCCCCCCTGGACCTGATATCTCGCTGGGAGCATGGAACGTGGCATATGCGTGATGGTAGACAGCGATGCGGAGGTTTTTTGCAATGTACGGACATTGCTCGAGTGGTATAGCGTCGCCAGGGTCGAGCTCCGGAAAATTGTCGTCGTGAAGGAATCTTCTGATGTTCTCCCGAAGCTTTGGGAGGCGGGCCTCGTCCTATAGATCATTGAGTCTTCGGAAGTATGCTAGGGCGGGTCAGTGCACATACATATACCAAAGACGGGAGGAACTCACTTGCACGAGCTACAAATGTGATGTTAGTATCTGACTCGAATCCCGGAGCAGCTGCCGCATCGGCCTCGTCTTGAAATCGAGCATCGGTGTCGGCTTGTGTTTGACGCCCCTCGAAAGCTTCAAAAGAGAGAAGTGCGTCAGTAAGGACATTGTCTTGTAGCATACCAGATCGCCCGAACTCCATGCGAGCGGCAGCCATTTTGCTGAGGCGAGTATTGAAGGCGAGGATTTGTTTGATGGGATGGAACCCGTTGGAGGATCGCCAGGGTCGCTTGACAGCGACAATGTGTTTAGACTCTGTTATCGACGAACAGAGTCCGTTCGGGGAACCAAAAAGCTGTATGGATTTGATGTAATGGATGAGGGCGTGTTGTCGAGGGAGGGATATGCCATCCGGCCGCACACCAATGTCCTCAAAAATTGTGCGTAGCTTGTGGAATTTGGTCAGGGCGACGTCCATGTCGTGAAGAGTTTTCGTGTCGTGAGTCGGACGTCGTGCGAGGTAGCAAAAGTCGAGAAAGGCTGCGATACACTCAGACACCTGGGTGGGTACGTGGCCAGTAATCGCAGGAAGATAGACCTGTAACATATCTGGTATTAGTCACCTGCAGACACGCTTCAAGAGATAAGGGTGCTTACCCTCATCAGAGCCTTCGAATCGTTTCCGGTCCATTGGGAAAAGTTGCGCCCGTCCGGAAAGCGTCGAAGGCCAGGGAAGGAGGGCGCGGCAGCTATGCTAATTGCCATAGATCAGAATATGCGCACATATACGTGAGGGAACATGGCTCTATTGAACGACTGTCTCCGGAGGACATGGCACTGTGCGTTCAAATACAGGTACGGCAGGCCATTGAGAACGCACATACCGCGTTCCTCCTCTTCAGGTGTAATGGAAGCTCCAAATGGAACAGACTCACCGTCGATCAATATCGTCCATAATGCGCTTCGCTTCAGCTTCGCTTTCAGCGGTAAGGTAAATGTACTGAGTCACCCAGTCGACGAGATGATCCTTGAAGGTCCCCTTGATCAGCTGGTGAAGCAGATCAGGGGACAGGAGCTCGTGGATGTCGGCACGGGGAAAACGATAGGTGAAGGGCTGTGGCAAATGCATATAAGGAGATACGAAGGATGTTGAAGGGATGAGGGTACAGACAACAACGTTGCTATCGATTCCAAAGACGTCCCACAAAGTGGGCGCATCAAATGTCTCCAGGAGACATTCTGTATGCTCTCTGAAGCATGGAGGGCCCGCTTTGTCTAGCTCTGTTGGTCGGGCACGGCATCTGCGATACTAGAGTAAGCGTTCGAGCTTGAGGAGGGAGTGCCATACAAGTCTGAACTACACACTTTGGACACCAGCTGGAGACGACGCCTGACACGTATACCTGTTCTGGATAGTCCGCAATGAAAGGCCCGATTTCAAAAACGGCGCGACGAAAATGGCCATCGGGACAGCGGATCACACGGGGGGTCGTCATCCACGGCGACAAGGGCGCGAGGACATGGGCGAGAGCGTGGTGATACAACTGTTTCTTGAAGGCGCGAAATGCAGCGCTGTCGGAGTGCTGACGTACAGCTGAAAGTATTGTACGCAGACGAAATCAGAGATAGAATGGAAAGCACAGCGGTAGGTACGTACTTTTGGGAATTGGCAGGAACGCTATGGGTATCACGGCCTCCCCATGTGCTCGGCGCATGCTGTTGTGGAGGTTGCCAGCCGACGCATACACCGGATGAAACTCCTGGTGTCCTGTCGCAACCGAAACGGTCGTCTTGTCCGCGCCAAGTATGAGGGGGAACAGCATTGCTCCATGTGTTGCCGGGTCTTGGGCAATCTTGTCCTGTATGGCGTTGTCAGTAAATTTTGAGGAGCCGCATAAGAACGTGCACGTACAGCCTGCTTCCATGCAAAGTGTGCGGACATCAAGTTAGAAAACTGACGGTTGTTCTGAGCAGGATACTCCTCGAATGGAATGTAGTCCCAGCTGTTCTCAAATTCGGCGCTGCCGGCCATATTGACTAACGCCTGTTCGATGTCGCGGTAGTGGAACTCGTACTCGTCATGCATCCAGTGCGCCTCTGGGTCCATGGGGCCAGTGTAGCGGACTTTGATCGTCTTCCATTCGATGTTGCCGAAGTCGATGTCATCGATCGTGTGATACATGGTGTCGGTGCTGGAGAAGAAGCCGTTGGACGAGTCTTGGCCGTTGGTTTGAATGACGCGTTTTGCAGAGAGAATTTGAAGGAGCTGATTGATGTCCGCCGAAGAAGATCTCATCTTCTCAAAAAGCAGTTCTGCGAATTCGAAGGACGGTCGGTCTTCGAACGGCGTGAAATCGTTGATACCCTCCGACGGGGGGGGAGGAGTGTTTGCGGGAAGGAAGTTCCCTTCTCGATCGCATGGACGAGCTTACATCACGTCAGGTATGTGCTCTCACACTAGAAGAATAGGTGCTTACCATTCAGATGAGGGTGGTATCGAAATATGGGCTCCTGGGCGGCAGGACGAGGAGGTTTTGGATTCTTGTGAACATGGCGGTTATGTGTGGTGAAACCGCAATGCGTGACGAAAGATATCTGACACAGGTTGCACCAGCGAGCCATCCTAGCTGTTGAGAAGAAGAGGTGAAGGAGCTGCGCGACGAACACAAAGTAAGCGGGGGCAACAGGGAGAGATATGAGATGATAAAACGCATGCGACCAGGGAGCAACCTTGGGCGGCAAAAATCAGCCCGCGCGTCGTCTGTCTCCTTGTAACCCCCACATCTCCGGCCAATCTGTCTTGGTCACCTATGGCTCGCGGGGCCAGCAAAGCAAGCACTGGCCGTGGTCGGGGCAGCCGTGGCCGCGGACGGAGTCGTGGTGCCTCTCCCTCGGCTTCTGTGACGTCCCAAGAACCGTCACCTGTCATGAGCTCGTTGTCCCCGCATGACATGTCGAGCACACTTACCACTTCCACCCCGATATCGACCCCAGGCCGTGGTCGTGGTCGTGGTCGTGGTCGTGGTCGTGGTCGTGGTCGTGGTGCCTCCTCGTCCACTCACCTATCGCCCGGAAAGGCTCCAACAGTCGAACACGATGTCCAGGGCACTCTATCCATTGGTAAGTACATGCATACATTGTCGTCTACCACGCCCACCAGATTTGTGTTACTGACTATCAGTTCTCTGCCTCAAGCACTAGACAATGCAACACCTACCGGTGCCGATGACCTGGGCCGGAGGGTTGAGAAGGTAATGTATAAGTCTGCCTACATACGAAAAAAATATTGATACGCTGATCAGCGCGGTCATCCCTATGGCACACGAACAAGCAATACCGACAGAAATCCAGGCCTCTATCCAGGCTTGAAGTGGCGAGAAGACAAGGCTGAAAACGCTAGGAAGGTCGCTGAAACTCAAGCAAAGCTAGACGAGTCTACGAAGCGCAAAGCGGCCAAGGTCGCACAGCATGAGCGAGAAGAGGCAGGCTCCCGCCGTCTAGCAGCTCTCGAGGATGCGCGGTATTTGGAAGAGCAAGAGGAAGAAGCGTACCTGGGAAGAACCACAGTCTCTGCCCACAACTCCCGACGCGAAGGCGCTTCGAGCGCGCCTACAACAACTGCCGACGCGTCTATGGAAGTTGACGACCAGGCGATTGGCCACCACGGCATCGAAGGCACGTTCGCCGGAATCTATGAAGAACCAGAAGATGAATATGAAGAACGTGCTTCTGAGGAGGATGAGACACAGGTGCGTCCCCAGGAGATGTAACCTCAACAACAGTATGGCGACAAACTCACATTCTATTCTAGTCACGTCAACTCCGCCGCAAGTCACGGCGTCGAAATGAAGTCCTCGGGAAAATCGCGACGTCTCACCAACTCAATGTCGAAGGTGTGCACATAAGTGAAGCAAACACTGGCACGCCTGCAAAGCGACGGGCTGAGGATGTGGAGGGGGGCAAAAGGTACGCTTCTCACGACCGCCATTCTCTCCACTTAATAACTCCCACCTTGCGCGCCTCATAGACCGCCGAAGAAGCCAACTGTCAGCGCGTTCAATGATGATTGGGCGGCCTTGTCACCAGCTGGGTCGCGATTGTTATCCGTCGCTCACCCACCCTCATCTTCCAACTCACGCCCTTCTTCCATCTCTCGCACATCTTCTCGCGCTGGCTCTCAAGTCGACACCTCTGCGCACGATTCCTGGAAGGCGATTCTTCTCAGCAAATTAGGACCACCTGCATCTCATGGGGTGGGTATGGACGAATTCTTGCAAGGCAGCAAGACATCACAATCTGGAACCGTTGTTCTAGAGGAGGAACAGATTGGTGGGTTACAGGACGATGACATTGAATTTGAGCGACCTACAGGTACCGCTGGATCTGCCGGCAGCTGGAATACATCGAGCACACCGGTATGTCCCATTTCCATTTCCGCTTATCATCGTCTGTCATGTCTGCACCCACATCCTCGACTGTCACCACACCTCTCTGCTTCTTCCTTTGCCTGCTTGGACATGACCTTCCCTGCTCAACCGTCATTATAGACTGTGGAGTTCTACGGTGAGGTTTCAAGCCTTACGAAGACCAAGCGGACTGCGAAGAGAGACATGCCAGAAGAACAGTCGCTCTCCGCCGACAACCTCCCGGGATGGATCAAGCCCGTGTGGCCCCAGGTTTCTGCTTCCCTTTGCGCATTCTATGGTGCCGAGGAGAACCCATGGGTTCTGGACCGGAACGAGGAAGACCCGGCCCATTTCGACAACGTCTTGAAGGTCCTCCTCGATGCGCTCTTCCCCGAAAAGCATTATATTGCTGATTCGAGTGATCAGGTATACAAGATTGTGAGTTTTCGTCCATCGATGTCGGAAATTGTCGCTGGTGTCACTGACTTGCTTTGCAGGCCCGCCAAGCTATTTACAACTGGCGGCGTGCTTTCGCAAATTCGGCACGTGCAGCCGTCAAACAAGCCGTCAAAGCCCGCCATGGTAACCCCCGACAGGTGATAAGAGAAAGTGTTGCGGCCTGGGCCAAATCCGCGAACAGTCACGGCGGCGAGGCGCACTGGGAGAACCCTGACACCCGCAAGGTATGTCCGTCTGTTGCATCGAGTATACATTAGAACACTGACTGCAGTCACCATAGGACGGCGAACCCTCTGGCGCCCTCCAATCAAGATATATGCTGCAATCATTCGCGGGGCACGTACGTCGTACAGAGAAGTCGCTTTTCAAGAATCTCGGCCTCCCTATCGGTGCTCTAACACTTGCCTGCACAGCGGTACATTGCATCCTTTATGACATTGATCCTTATAAGCTTACATACATGATACTAGGTCGACTACGCATTCCGGCACTACTATACAGGGGTAGAAGCAGCGCCGAAGGGGCTTCGGCGTTTCGATTACGACACCGTGGGCCATATGATGGAAGAATGGTACGAGTTGACAGTCAAGCCTCTTGCTGACACGAAGCCGCACCGATTCAAGGCTCTCGTCGCTCGCGCACGCGAATGGGGCCGGGCTCAGGCTGTCTCAAATGAGTCTGACTTTCGGTCAGAGTCCACGCAGCCAGAGCATTAAGCTCGGCCATTAAGACGCATTAAGACACCATTAAGCTCATAAGGTGCTAAGTGACGGCGTGCGTGGGGAGACCATTTGAGACTCGAGACGTCAACCCCAGTGAAAACCCCGTCTATTACCAACGATTGCTGGCTATTGCTATCTAATGCCGTCTTTTCTGAGCGATTTCGGATGACAGCTCGGCGTTTAACGCGCTCATTTCATACATCGATTGGCTAGTTTTATATATACAATGGGCCGTTTGACGTCGATCGATAGTACTAAATGGGTGTTCGACGTATATACTGTTGCATCCATGTCCATTATATATATGTCTGCCTGTGTGCCGACCAACGGATATCCGACCATATCCATTCTTACCTGGTCTTCGATCTCGTCCCCGACTCCTTCGTCCATGACGCCATCCGTGTTCGCGACACTCTTTATAAGGTGGGCGATGGCCGTTCTCCCGTCTGGGCACCCTTTCTTCCCTTCTCTCACCATCCCTTCCTGTACTTAGGTACACTCACTCATCGTGAGGCTAACAGGTGGGGCATCGCTGTCTGTACACGTCACATACAAGTGAGTGGGCTAGTCGCTGTCGCACAGCATACAGGTAAGTCGCATACGAGGTTACTGCACAGGAAGCAAAGAGCACATGAGGCAACGCAGCAGTACTTTGTGATAGGTCGCTGAACGTGGGCTTGGCACGCCGCACAGGTGCGGGGAGTAGCGTACTATGATGTAATCCGAGAATTGTACCGTAGAGTAGCCACCTATAAATATCCTCGTCCATGCTCGATCTAGAACCGGATGAAGCATATGAACTTCTCAGTACTGTCGTAATTTGTCCCAATATGGTTGTCAGACGTTGAATAGACCGGAACATACCAATATCGGGGGGAAAAGATGCAAATAGACGTGAAAAGTCGATCGACGGCAAATAGCTTTTTGTGCCTTTTGCCACCGTTTTCCATCGATTGATACCGATTTCTAGCGATTGTTACATGTTTCTGTCTTTACGCCAGACAGCAATCGGCTGAAAAAGACCAGAATAGTAGGAAACAGACGGGGTTCTCACTGGGCGTCAACATTGATGGATAGGGGACACGGGTATACTACATGGGGTATCTACTCAGGCAAGGCCGGAGAGCTATCACGATCCAGAACTGGGCGCCGTCGCTCTTAATGGTGCATCTTAGTTCTTATGCCTTAGACGGCCTTAATGCCAACTTACGCGCCTTAATGGCCTTAAAGGGCGTTTTAAGCCGCATTAAGCAATTCCCTGATTTCCTGATGCCTGCTCACTAACACGTCTGCCGCGCCGTAAGATCAAATTCTATACAGACAGAGAATGGAACGAGTTCAAACGCATGAACAAGAAGTCGACACGCATTGGCGATACAATCGTGCGAGGCAAAAAAAAGTCCGCCCTTGGGGAAAATCACACAGCGCTCTACATTGAAAACGTCGACGGCACTCCGGCCAGTGGCGACTACATCAACAATGCCCGCAAATTCGCGCGCACCTTGATCAACCTCGCGATCTCGACAAAATGTGACATGCCCAAAAAATGGGGCGACGCTGACGTCTGGTTTCAGCAGCTATTTTACACCGCCCTTCGCAAGAGGTTCCCCCTGTTCCAGCTGTGCCACAACAACGCCAAGGCCAACCTATTCATGCAACACATGTACTACGATGCAGTGACGCGCAAATGGGAGAATCTTTCGACGGGGACTGTCAACCTCAATGATGCAAAATTTGCCTTCCAGCCCGTATCCGATGACGACGGCGTACAGGAGGATGTCGTTGACGTGCCCGCCAGCAACCCTCCTGGTTCTACGGCCCAGCGTGGCGCCACGAAGCGCCCGTCCGGCGTCACCCTCCTGCCGTCCAAACCAGCCCAGCGCCCCCGTACGCGCGCCGACGAACCTGAACAATCTCTCCGTGCGTCCCCCTTCTTCACCAAGGTCGTCTAAAAACGTGTATGTTCCACTGCTAACTTCACCGTGGCGTAAACTTTCCAGCACCCTCTCAACCGGACAAGGGCAAAGGGCGCGCGTCTGCCGGCCTCCTATCCCTGGTGACGTTTCTTCTCTTCATTGACACTAAGCTACTCAAACTTGTGCGCTCTAGATATCCCCATCGTATGTCATATCTCCTGATTTTCAATTTATGTTGATCACGTTGTTTGGCTCGTTCAGCTCTACCATGCAGCCCACTCCCCGCGTTGAAGATCAGCCCACCACCTCAACTACCGCATCGCCACCCTCCCAGGAGTCTCCTGCTCTTCAAGACGCACAGGGGTCTGTTATGCCTGGGGCGCCTTCCTTTGAACCTCCCTCGTGCACCGCTGAAACGACGCCCGCCCTCGCGGCGTCAGACGGGCATCCCCCCACGTCCCACCTTGACCATCCCGCTTTGCCAGTCCCACAAACTCACTTACAGCACCCCAAGCCACCCTCTGAGGCCTTGGGCACGCATCATAATGTTCCCGACACGCAGCGCATTACCCCAGCCGCACTGCCCACTGCCAATGCTGGTCCCTCTGACAGCCTCGTAGATCCTCCGCCAGTACCCTCCACGTCAGCAATCGTGACGGCCTCAAAAAAAACTCGTGCTCCTCGGAAGGCACCGCAGTGGCCTCCGCCAGCTGATCTGGGTGGAGCTAAGTAAGTCTTGAATCAATACAGAACGTCATCTGACCGTGCAATGGCCCGTCGGCAGGTGGGCGCATGCACGTCACTGGTACGCACAGACACACGGATCGGAGGCTGATTTCGAACAGCACTACAAGGCCATGTCTCGCGCCGATCGCCAGGTAAGTTCTTTGTACACATATGCAGTCACCCTCTTCTCATAGATTCCAAACAGAAGGCCCCCCGCCACGCTGGACAATGATCCTTGCGACCTCGTTTACTCCCCCCTCCCAGCTCGTCCTTCCAAGTTCGGCCTCTCGCATGCACATGCTTGAGTGAATAACTACCTCATGTGCCTCGAAGATTCTTGTCTCGCCCTCAACGCCTCTGGCCCCTTGGACTTGTTCATCCCCGACATCGCTGCTCGTGTTCCTCGCTGCTCGTGTTCCTCGCTGCTCGTGTTCCTTGCTGCTCGTGTTCCTCGCTGCGACCTCAGTCTCACCTCCCTCTACGACCCTGGCTATGTGCATGCGACATCTCACGACCTTCCGCTCAGTTTGGTGATGCGCCTCCGTGAGGCGGACACGCACACTGCGTGTCGCCAGCACTAGTGCAGCGGGACCCGACCGCAAGCGACTGCATACAACGATCCGCGACTGGACCTGGTGGTATACGAGTCATTCCAATCGCGCCCGATTCTGACTGTATTGTATTGTATCATACGACGTCTGTATACGACTGAATACATATGTCTCTTTAATGTCACCCAATGGCGTGCTGCATAAGGGAACTGCCCTACATTGCCTAGCCCGAAACATCGCGAGCGCAAACGTTTGCTGACGATCGCCGTCGACCCAAATCGACTGGAGTCGTATCCTGTCGGATTCTTAGACGGCATCATACAACCGAATACGACGACAGTCGTATATAGTCCAGATATCGTAAAAACTCGCGTTGTACGACTATATACGATAGAAATCGACCCATATCGGCCTCATTCAGGCACGTTCTCACTGGGGTTTAGGTTTGGGTTCCGGCGGCAACAACACCTTTCCCTTCCCCGAGGAGAGGCCGTCTGTATCATTCGCGCACAAACGAGGCTTTGGAGTGCCCACCCGAATACCCATGGCTCTGTGGACCCCCAAGCGCAGTGAGGGAGCGGAGGGAGCACGAATGGCGGGTCCAACTTGGAAGTCCTCACTTTAAGCGATTGACTACCATATTGGGTACCTGTTTTATAAACCAAAAATCGACTCATAGCGCACCGGTAGGACGAAGGTCTAAGGCCTCGTCCGGTACGTGGGATAGGAGTAGGGAGTGTGGCTCCAGGCGGCTACCTGCGATTTGGCAGGGATCCTATAAACCTATCGGACGTGCCGAACGGGCTTGACTTTCCCTTGGGCGCCCATGTTGAGGGCCAGCATACACAGGCTTGGTTGCGGACGTCGAGAGCAACCGTTCAGCTCAGTACTGTCGCAGCGGTGAACGCCCATTTCCACGGCGCAACCGTTGAACGCGCTTTTCCCTCGCCGGATCGGGGCTTTCCGAGGGCGCCAGGTCCATAGTACTTACTTACTCTCCAGCGCCCTGTTTACCGAACTGTCAAATCATCACGTTTCGACACGTCCAGCTTCAACTTCGTCAGCTGTTGTTGGCCTCCCTACCCTCATCACCATCCAGGAGAACTGATGAACAGTCTGGAGGAGTGTGAGAGAGAAGAGGCATTCGCGTCACTGGCATATACAGTGCAGAACTGCTACTGACATCGCTGACGATGATGGTGGGAGAGCTGATGATGAGATGCAGTGGCGGTGGGAGATGGGCATGAATTGGTCGAAGCGGACACGTTGGACTGCCTGTTATACAGATTAGCGTCGTTTGAAGGATCGCTATAGGCTGGCTGTTAGTGCCGCAGTAGCTGAGATAAGTATCTGATAAGACATGGGGAGCTAAGTGGACCAATCGGCGGCGGCGGCCAGCGAGTGGACGCTGGACTGCGATGAGGTCGGTGGGGAACGTCCTCCATCGCCTCGCCAATAACATTCGCCTCCTGCCGCGGCACTGTCGTCTGGACAACATTAGTAACGTTCGGAAGTTCTCAAGCGGCCCACATATACAGTCCACTGCGGAGTGCGCTCTCGCCCTCCAGCTCTAGCCATTGATTCTCTCTCCGTTCTCTCACATCTTGCTCCGTCTCATGCCGACACATCTGGGCGCAATGCACTCGCCCGACAATGAGGTCTTCTCCACGCCACCCACCACCCCTTCCATGCCGGAGTATCGGCCGTCACTCTCAAGGCGTACCAGTCGGCCGTCCAACCTGCACATCGCGCATACATCCTCCGACTGGACCCCAAACATCGTCCTGGATTCGCAGCACTCTCCGGAGATATCCTCGGCCAAAGCCCGATCGGCCACCCCCACATCTGCTCCGTCCACGTTGGTCAACGGCACGAAGACTAACGGCGTCTCGGTGACGCTCGAGGGTCCTCCGACTATGTCCAACACACCTACAATTACTCACCACACTGTCCCGAACCTGTCCCATACTCCCCCAATCGCATCCCCCTGCTTCCTCCACAACAAGCTCCAAAGCGAGTCGCTCATGAGCTGGCTCAACTCCACCCATCCCAATCACGACCACGAGCCGCGCTCGAAAGAGGATAGGCATGCAAGCTATGCAGACGGAACGGTGTCGGACTCGTACAGCGAGACGACCTCGCCGTACGCGGACGAAGACGAGCGCGAATATGCGCAAAGCCTCACGAAACAGCTGGCGGACACTGCTGTGACGGTGCGGGAGTGGAGCAAAAAGCTTGGTCAGTAGTCGTCCTGTCTCTGGCTTGCGCGCGATGCATTCGCCCCCTCCGGCGATGCTCATTCCGCATCCAGGTCGCACCCGCGTCAGGTCGCACATCCAGAGCGTGCTCATCGTCACCAAGGCGCGCGATAACCGCCTTATCAAGCTTACTCGCGAGCTCGCCCTCTATCTCATGCAGAAGAAGCGTGGCACAGACCGCGGAATGATCGTGTAAGTCGTGATTTACTCTATCTCGCGCAGGATGCTGACTGTATGCGCGGCAGTTATGTCGACGCTCAACTCAAGACGTCCAGACGGTTCGACGCAGCCGGTCTTGCCCGCGAACATCCGGAGCTCTTCGTCCCCTTCCCGAAACGACGAAACTCGAGCAACTCGTCCTTGCTCAACGGCTTCAGCAATGGCAGCAGCGAGGGACCTTCACAGCCCGAGGGCCAGCTGCGTTACTGGACGGCGGAAATGTGCAGCAAAAGCCCGCACCTCTTTGACTTCGTCGTCACGGTCAGTCCCCTTACGTCTCTGTTCTCATCCAACTCATCAAGACGTCTGCCTTCCTGCAGCTCGGCGGGGACGGCACCGTGCTCTTCACCTCTTGGCTCTTCCAGCGCATCGTGCCGCCCGTGCTGCCTTTCGCGCTCGGCTCGCTCGGGTTCCTGACCAACTTCGACTTCGCCAACCACCAGAAGGTGATGGACAGCGCGATCGACGACGGCGTGCGCGTGAACCTCCGCATGCGCTTCACGTGCACCGTCTACCGCGCGATATCCCCAGACAAAAACAGCAAGGCGCACCGCGCGATAAAGAAAGGCGATACGGGTGAAATCTTCATGCGCAACGTTGAGCAAGACGGGTGGGAGGCGCTCGAGAGCGGGAACACATCGACTGGTAGGCCTCACGGGAAGGATAAGGAGATCATGTGCTTCTCGACGAAGCCTGTTGAATGCTTTGAGGTGCTCAACGACCTCGTCGTCGATCGTGGACCTAGTCCGTATGTCAGCCTGCTCGAGTTGTTTGGTGAGTAGTGGACGTCATGTCGAGGTATCACGATGCTGATCGAGTCTCGGTCTGCAGGCGATGAGCATCACCTTACAACTGTGCAAGCTGACGGTCTTTGCGTTGCCACACCCACTGGCTCCACAGCGTACTCAGTGAGTGACAATCGAGTTGAGGCGGCGTATACAGTGCTGACGAAGCGCAGTTATCCGCCGGTGGCTCGCTAGTGCATCCTGAGATCCCCGCCATCCTAATCACTCCTCTTTGCCCCCACACTCTGTCGTTCCGGCCTATGCTTCTCCCAGACACCATGGAACTGCGTATATGCGTTCCTTTCAACTCGCGGAGCACCGCTTGGGCGTCGTTTGACGGACGCGGGCGCGTCGAGCTCAAACGTGAGTTCCCGAGCGTCACACCACTGCGCATATAGCTGACTAGCGATGTACAGAGGGCGACCATATCAAAGTCACTGCGTCCAAGTACCCTTTCCCAACCGTGTGCGCTGAGTCTCAGTCTCGCGACTGGTTCCACTCGATCTCCCGCACCCTCAAGTGGAACGAGCGTGAACGTCAGAAGTCGTTCGTGGTCGTCGAGGAGGAGCCGGGCAAGTCTCGCAAGAGCTCGCGCGAAGGGAAGGTTCGCGACGCGACCCCCACCGCGAAGCGCCACGAGGAGGCTGCCAAGAAGCCAGAGGAAGAGAACGAAGACGAGCTAGACGAGGAGGACGAAGTCTCAGAAGAGGAAGAAGAGAAGTATGACATTGACGACCTCTCTTCGACGGAGTCCCCCTCTTCCGTCTCCGTGGTGTCCATGCAGCTCAGTCCTGAAGAGGCTAAGATCGGGCAGGAGAAACTCCACGACGATGACAACGTGCAAGCGGAGGCGGAGGATGCCGTACGCCGCCTCGCCAAGGGAGACCCCTACCTCTCGTCCACGCTCACCTCGGCCCCGAGCTCCGGCCTCAAGTCGGGCATCGACACGCCAGACCGGTTCGCCGGCGGCCAGCAGCACCCACACCCACCACGCGTGTCCCCGCGGCACGTGCAGTTCCTCACGTCGTCAGCGTCCTCATCCTCCTCGTCTGTCGCGACGTTCGCTGACGAGTACCGAAGGGGCGACAGGGGCGAGCGCGACGACATCCACAGCCCGCGCTCGGCGCACCACAGCACCCGCGTGCGCATCCCGCGCGACCGCGACCTCGATGCGGAGAACTTGCGAACGCCGACGCCGGCCGAACAGGGCCACCGTCCGTCGTTCACGAGGAGCAGGTCGCGCTCGCGGGAGCCGCCGCGGAGGGCGTTCGCGGTGTGGGGCCACGACGAGAGCGACAGTGCCGCGAGCGATAGCGACGCGGACACGTAGCGGTAGTATGCGCTTTTCGCCCCTTCGTTCTCCAGCGAGCTGGTCGCTCTGATCTTTTAGACTTCAGGGTAGTCTTATGGTTGTTTACATTCGGTTTACTTGGATGGAGACCGTTGAGGATATCACGTAGATGCACTGTAACGTATATTTCGTCATGACCTTGCTTATAGGTAAAACCCAGATACACTTATACAAAATGAATACGCAGACAAACAAGAGGCTTGTAATATATTCACGAAGCTGCACGCCAAACGTCCTTCTCACTTGAAACTGGTTCCTGGGTTGTATTTAGCGACTATAGGGTCTATGTAACTTATAGATACAAATCGAGGTATAACGATACAAGGAGATCTCTTTTCACCTCTGGTACTACCTCGCTAAAAGTATGCCGTGTTCCTCAACGCAAATCGCTCGAGCTTCCTATAATCCGGGCGGTCCTTCGCCACCGCCCAGATCCATGCATCCAGCTCCGGCAGGGTTATGTCCTTCATCCAGGACCAGTCCTCAGCCGCTCCGCTGATATCAAGCGTCTTTGCGTACTGCACGATCAGCTCGCACGCATCGATCGCCGCGGCGCGCAATACGAACGCCTGCTCGACCGTCAAAAGCGGGCCTTCCTTCGGGGGAGATTTGATCTTCGCCACGACGGGCTCGACAGGCTGCGCGGCCGAGAGGAGCGCTTCGAGGAGCTGGGGATTCTGTGCCTCGGGGAAGAGCTGCTGGAGCCCGAGGGAGGCGTCCGCCGTGGAGAGGTCGATGACGCCGAGGTGGACGAGGAGAGAGGGGATCACGTTGTCGGAGAAGATGGGGAGGTGGTCTGTGCGGGGCACCGGAACCGGGGGCGTGTCGGAAGCCTTGTAACGGAGGGCGATGGCGTGGACGGTGAGCATCGCCTTCTTGAAGCAGTAGACGGCTGTAAGAAAAGCAAGAGCGTCAGGAGGACCCCTTTCCTCGGCCGGGAAGACTTACGTTGGCCCTGAACCAACGCCATATCGCGGAAAGCAGGAATGCCGCGGACGAGCTGAAGGGCGGAATGTCCTCAGCACGCTGTACCTGAGCGATCCAAGAGCGGGACGGCCTACTCTTTCTACGATGACTTCGCATTCGTCGCGGCCTGCTTTCCTAGCCTTCTCTCCTTCTCCCAGAGCTTCAAAGACCAAGCTACCGAGATCAGGGTACCCTCCATTCACCAAGGCCTCACCAGTCTCGTTCAGCGTTTTCGCGATGATCTGGACGATCTCCCAAATGGGGCCACTCAACTCGCCTACCGTCACTCCGGGAATCTCTTCGTGTGGCCGTTCAACATGGATGGCGTCCATCACGCGCATAAGATTCGCAACTGTGGCGGGAGTGATCTCCTTCATGCCGTGTGCAGAGAAGTGGTCCCCAGCGCTAGCAGCGGAGATGTAGGCTCCGAAGACGAAGGCCCGGATGTTGTCAAACGCGCCTCGGCCCGTCGCGATATGGAGCGGTACGCGGTAGCCCGAGCCGAAATTTAGGAGTGATAGCACGGACAGGATGTTCAATTCCTCCTTGATGGAGCTGAAGTTGAGAGGCAACGTCATCCCATGGGCTGCCCGTAGACGAGTGTAGGTGCTCGTGAAAGCAGGTGAAAGCAGGAACCGCTTGATCGACTCGTCGCTGATCTATCAAGGCGAGATATGATCAGCATGGCACAGCTAGATGGCATTTGGGGAGACGCAGTGCCCGCGGAGAGCTCATGGCGTTTGCAGTCATAACTAGTGGAGTGTGCTCAATCCAAAGCCCTTAGCAACTGTCAACAGGATTGAGCCGACTCGTGAAGAAACAGACTGTTCAGGAACACGGTGCTGTCCTTTCAGCCGCCTGGTCATGGCAAGGCTAACGATTGGAAAAATACTTACCGTGATGTTAGCCTTGAGTCTTGCAGCCCGAGAGGACTCCCGTACGGCCTTCAAGTATTCTCCCGAAGGAGGGAAAGGGACCAATTCTGAAGACATCACAGGGAATTGGGTTCTGGGTGGCTGCAAGGCTATTGTGTACGCTGATACTAGTCGTAATTACGTTGTGCGCTTAGCGTCAGTCTTCCTTTCCCCTTCAAGAGTGCTATGTACGGACTTACAACGGCCTCTGCACGTACTGGATGAAGTTCGTAGCAGACGTAGGACGCGTAAGTTAGGAGGAGGCGCTCCGGAGCACAGATCGGCGGTTCCCGGAAGCCAGATTCGGCAGTCGTCTTAGGTGCTTTGCCAGTGACTCGATGGCATCCGAGTCGTGCGCATACAGTATCATGTTATTACGAGCTGATATATGGGCATGCAAAGAGTCTCTAAGAAGCATCAGTAACAACTGGCCGGCACAAGAGCACGGAAATTCCCAGAGGTTGGATAAGCTGGACCAGGAGAATTGCTAAACCAAGACGGATTAGCCACATACGCCTTGGGATTCAATGCATCTACATAGCATCCAAGAGAACTATCGATGTCCGGTTTAGTGTCTTAGCATTGTAAGTACTAGCGTTAACGACAGTTGCTAATCTTAAAGAGGTACATCCCGTGTTGGTTGAAGAGAAATGAAACAAGAGGAGCGGCCGTTACCGCAACGCAGTGCAAGAGGAGGTCATCGGTCATTGATTGTGAACAAGGTTGCGGTATCCATAAGTCACTGAATTCAGCGGGAGGATCACAGTTACCATTCCATGCCTGCTTGCTCCTTACTCGCGAGTCCGCCGAGCATGTTTCGCAGTCTAATGCAATGTAAGGTATCGCCTTGTTTGCTAGGCGGCAGTTCGTTTCGGCAAAGGCTGCAAATCTCAATTGCCCTCTTAATGAATGCCTATGCCCATACTGTGACAACCTGAGCGTGGTTCACTGAGAGATAGGAAGCCGTGAGCAAATAGAGAAAAGAGGCTGAAGGTAGCTCTTACTCGCGAGTAATCATCGACAATGCCGAAGACTTACATTCTGTGGGGCAGGTAAAGTCGCTTATGTTAACTGCGCATTGAGGTAACTCAATGAAACCAACGGTTCGCCGACAGGTGAACATTATTCCGGGAGGCGCCCAGTAGCATACATGCGCCCAAAATAGCGATACAAATTCTAGACTAACAGAAGACGTACCATGGATCTACCGTCCAGCTCGAGCGAACCACGCCTTCTGCGCCCCGCAGGTGGCGTTCGTGCAACCAGGACACCGCAGACCCAATTGAACACTTGTCGGCCCGATCTTCCCACCTGAATGGTTCTTCAGGTGCGCCGCAGCGAGATCAGCCAAAGCGCGGATGAACACGGGTGACTCGTTCAGAGACTCCGCTCGGTGGACTTCAACTCCGTGCTGCGGAGCAGATATATTTGAGATTTGAGCTCGTACACAGATGGACGGTTTGACATACCTCTCGCGCCTCCTTAGCATACTCGAGGTCGAGCTCGTACAGCGTCTCGATGTGGTCGCTGGTGAATGCGATGGGCACCAAGACGACCCGCTTCCGCCCAAGCCGTGCGAGGCCCTTCAGCGCTTCTCCCGTCTGCATACCCATCCACGCCGAGGGGCCGACTTGTGACTGCCACACGAGTCGGTAAGGGTTTGCGTGCCCGAGTCGATCCATCACGGCGTTGACCGAAGCCGAGACTTCGAGGATATATGGATCCCCTCGGTTGACAACGGACATCGGAAGGGAATGCGCGGAGAAGAGCAGCACGACGTCCGACCTATGCTCCGCAGGGAACTTTTCGAGCGCGCGTTCGATATTTTGTGCGACCGCCTGCACGAGGTCGTGACGTCAGCACCTTGCCAGAAGCACGCCATGTGTCCCGTGGTGGATAAAGCAGACATACCTCGATGAAGCCAGAGTGCGTACCCCACCGGTCAATCACGCTCCATTCGACCCCATCCCCAAAATCGCCCGTCTTGCCCTTCCTATACAGCTCGTTGAGACTACTGCCAGTCGTACTGCAGCTGTACTGGGGATATTGTGTGAACGCAACAGCGCGCTTGACGCCGTCGGCTTTCATCTCCCTTGCGGTCTCGTCCGTGAGAGGTCGCGCGTAGCGGAAGGCGACGTATGCTTTGTGCGGCGCCGTAGCAGGATGCAATTCGTCGAGGAGCGCAGCCATACGCTCGCCCTGTATCTTGGTGTACTTCAAAATGGGTGAGCCGCCGCCAATGTCCTCATACTGCTTCTCTATTTGAGGAGTGCGACGCCTGGCGATGATAGGTGCGAGTATAGATTGGAAAGGGAGAGGGATGAGGTCCCCGTCTGAGAAGAGGTTCTTCAAGAAGTCGTGTGTTTCCGGCACCTGTCCGCGCGCGTTCGCACACCTTAGCTAGACTATAGTAGACAGGAGCACGCACCGTGGACGGCCCACCCATGTTCAGCATCACAATCGCTACGTCCATACGCGTCAGCCTCTCTGTAAACCCGTCAAGCTATCAAATGTACCTGTTGGACTGCAATGACGCGTCAGACACGCGCATACACGGACTGACGCGAGCGAGCTCACCTCTTCCCCGCTGGGGGAGCTGTATTGAGCGTCGCCAGCGAACGCGTCAGGGAGCGGGTTAGTGCCGTTGTGCGCTTCACGTAGGTGGCCATGGCAGAAATATGTCGTCCTGAGAGGACGAAGAGAGTGGTATATAATGCTGAGCTGAGGGGGTGGGAGGATCCAATGGGAGCGGTGCCATTTTCCGTGCGACGTGACCCACGCTGGAGGCTTTGTAAACAGGTCTATTGACTGATCAGTAAGTGATACTGATCACGGACTTACTCGCCTATATCTGGCCTACCTAATTCCTTCCAGAGTTTTCTTATCGGGTCAAAGTGACAGTTGAAACCGAACCTTTGACTCCCGGGGCTCTGTAGTCTCGTGACCAGACGTTCGGAGCTTTGAGCGGAAACGAAAAATCGGAGGTTTCCGGGAGCCCGGATGCTTCCGATTTTTTCGCATCCGATTCAGGCTCCGAACGTCTGGTCACGAGACTAGGGGCTCTGGCTATCCCGAAATACCGTGATCTTCTTCCCGTGGCCATTGCTGACACAACTGTCACCTGCATCTGGAACAGGCCACGTTACGCTGGATGATAGGTTCCTCAACGGTGGACGTGGTCTTCCCAGCTATCGTGGCCTTACAATACCTGTCCTTGGCATTACGACGGCCGAACAAGAGCGGAGGATGGATCAGAATCTAATGCTAACAAGTAGGCACCCGACACTGCACATCTGCTCTCCGACCGGACGGCCAGTGTTGGCCGTCATAGGGAAAACTCCTCCTTTCTTCATGATGTCATCTAGGCATTCAACAGGCTATGACTATACGGTATTCCTATCCTCGCATTGCAATTGACTGCCGCAATTCCAAGGAGTTTCGTAGCGGTTCACACTTCGCCACCAGATATATACCCTCCGTATCGGACTCCGTTCACACATGGGGGGTGAATCGTCTCACGCTACGTGGGCAGCCACTGTCATTGCATTTTCACCGACACTATCTGGTCCCACCACTGCTCGCGGAAGGAAGTGCATACCGCACTGCCGTGCCCGTCAGATCCTACGTATGTGTTCCAGAGTCCTTGTCTTGATGTTGACATATGCCTTGTCGCACCGTTCATATGAACTTTGGCATTCAGCCTCCCACAAGGCAGTACGGCACATTGCTTGCGGCTCCGCGACAAATCTGGGACGCTGTCGCGTTTCGTAACACCCAACGGCGCACTGCCTCCGTGAGTACGTCCCTGCTTGGGCGTCAACACAGGATGTAGCGATCCAGTGCAGAAATCAAGTGTCAGCATTGTCTTCTGAGCTGAGCCGTTCCTTTACCTTCCCCCGAACCTATCACCTCACGTCTAGGGAAGAGTTCAAACGAGCTTATTCCCATACTGCAGACACACACGCTGTCGCATCCACGAAAGCGCAAAATGGCATATGCGCACACGCCGTCAAATACACAGGTCTCTCATAACTGCCATCCTAGGACGATATGCGCCTGTGCACGCCCATCAGGCCGATCTTGGAGAGGTGACGCTATACATAGTGACAGCGGGAAACGCTGCGCGGCGACATCGCTTGACGAAGATTCCTCAGGCGACCCAAATCTCAGATCCCGATCAATCGACAGTCCAGTAAGTATGTTTGGGTTTGGTCAATGTCCACGAACCACAGCCAGCGCCAGCGCCTTGTGTCTAGCGTGGGCCAGCACTCACCGGGTCGCCAGAAGTTGCTCCCCCCTTCCCAAGGAGGAGCTGGACAGGGATCTTTTCTGGGCAGGGAAACGGCTCAAGCTATCTCGTCCGCGAGAAAAGGCGCTCTGCAAAGAGTTTTCTGCACTGCAGTATGCTTGTGCAAGGTATTTTCGTCGCGTCAACAACATTTCCTCGCTGGGGAAATGCGGCCCTCAGTGCTATTGGACACAGCTAAGAGGCCTGATCTCCTGTGTCGTGCTGAGGATCGTAGCAACACAACAGATATGGAGCCAGGTGCAGGGGAACAGGGCTAGATTTTCAGCGAGGCGTGGTACGCCACGTAGCGCGAGAGAGTAGGTGTACAGGGTGAGATAGAACGTGAAAGTACCAGGCTACAGCTATGCAGTACAGACGGGCGATAGGCATAGCGCGACAGCGTACGACTAGCTACTACTATACAATTTACGGGTATGACGTGGAGACGAGATACGGCAGAAGGAACCAAGTGGAAGGGCCCGGGAAATATACAACGGCTACGAGGGGACAAACCAAGTAAACCTACCCAGAGATATATGCAACATATTACGTCCGAGCGTCATATCGACACCGCCTGGAACGCTGAGGCACAGTCGATCCATATGGTCTCCTAATAGATCAATCAGTGAGCTCGCCTTCTTCGCGCTCCTCCCTTTGCGGTGACTCCTTTTGCGGTGGCGGATCTATGTGCGCCGGTAGGGCAGGTGGGGAAAGGGGGGCTGGTACCGGCGCGGGGGACGGGGTCCTAGCAGAAGGCGTAGGCGTAATGCCATTCACGGTAACGTCTTTGCCCGTATCCTGAAGAGGGTCTGGGGGGAGTGCGTCAGCCGTAGAAGCCGGCAGCTGCTCCGCGGAGGGCGTGTCCTTATCGGCAGGCACAGGCGCAGTTGCAGGATGCCGAAGGGGTTCTTCCGTCTCTTCTTCCTCGTGCTTGTCGGCCCCGTTTGGCAAGGGCTTCTGCGCATCTGTGTTTGGCTCGGCCGCAAGGACAGGCTCAGCTTCGGCGCGGCGTTCGTCGTCGGCCGGCACGCTACATTTCGATGAAGCGGCAGCCTTCGTAGCCGCGGCGATAGAGACAGACACAGAAGTAGACGTGCTCCCACTACCGCTCGAGTCTCTGCGCTTCGCCGGCCGCGTCGCGCGAGGTTTCCTCGTCCGAGCACTACGTTTCGGCGTCTGGGCCTCAGTCGGTTCTTCTTGGGCTTCCTCAGGCTCGTTCTTCTCGGGGGCAGGTTCGTCGGCCAAGTCTGAAGCCACGACCGCAGACACGACGAGCGGCGACGGCGCCGCGGGGGCGGTAGCGGCAGCACCACGAGGATTGCGTGTGCGCTTCGCGGGCGGCGGGAACACCCCGTCGCCGTCTTCTGTGTCCTTCCGTTTTCGCTTGGCGCCGCCACCTCCGCCGCGCCTCTTTCGCGGGCTGGCGTTGCGATCTCGGGCTGGCGCGTCCTGTGCGGCCTTCTCTATGCCGTTCGGTGTGCCGTTTGTCTGCGGGTCGTCTTCACGACCTTTTGGTCCGGCACGACGGGAGCGAGAAGTGCCTGCATTTGAGTCGCCCTCTGCTTGGTCGTCGCCATCGTCTACACTCAAAGATGAAGGTAGGCCGAATTGCCCGGGATCGAGTTTCGGTAACGACTGCGCAAGGGGACCAAGAGGATGGTACAGCGGCAGGAGAGGTGCATGGCGCTGCACAGCGGTCTTTACAGATAGAATGTATTTCTGCGCAGACGAGCGCGAAGTGTCAGTGGAGGTGGACGTCCGACGGCGTTCGTAGGGAGGGGTTGCGCGTTTGCGCATCGCTGTTGAACGCGGTCATTAAACGCGGCCCCACGTGATTCAATTTGCATCATTATGGGCGCTTACTCGTATGGGTTTCCCACTCTCCAGGGTCATCCGCAGAGGGCGACTTGAACACGTACTTGGGTTTCCGACGGCTGCGAGACGATGAAGCAGACGGTGGGGTCGATATGAAGGCAGACGGCGGGGATGCGAGATGCGAGGATGACGCGGAGTCGTCGGAGAAGGCGGGAACCACAATGGGTCGGCGGGAACCCACTATCGGGGTGATATTGTCGAAGGTGTCCATTGCGGTCTGCTCCAATGCCAGTGGCAACGGAGAAGAACGAGTAGACAGTATGTGTTGGAATGGAATGGAAGCGACGCGGAACATAACATGAAACACGCACTACGAAGCCACACACTACAACCCAGGGACACTAGCGGAGGCTTCGACGTTCGCCGGGGTCTGAGCTCGGATGAGGTTACGTCGTTACTCGGGCGGCCGCGATCGGCGTGATGATGAGGTATAAGTTGCTTGCGACTAAAAGGAAAGATGCGATTCTTGAAGGCAGAATGTGTCAACCGCAGGGTTCCCGATGCCATAGTGGGGTGCAGCTGCAAGTACGAACGTACCTGGATGTGGTGGAGAGTGCCCAACAAGGTAGGGTGTTGGGCGGAAGCCCGATCGGATGGGAAAGAGCAGCGACGACGCCGGTGACGATAGCGATGGGCGCGGTCGTCGACGTTGAGGAGGATATGGCCGACGTCGACGGGGGCTGCAGACAAAAAGCGGCCCGTGCACTCCATTCAGGCTCTCAAGCCACTGCGAACCGAGCCGAGGCTACAACGCCGGCCACGCGGTTATCTAATCTTATCTCCCTGGCGCGTTCGCGGGATTGGTAGCGCCAACAGTCCGCGGCCGAGCGGGCTTCCTGCTCCCGACCCAATATTTCGACATCATCTCTCCTCTCCTCAGCATGCTTGGATCTGCGCATATATTCCTTCCGCCCGTAGTGCACCATCCGGTATGTTGCTAGGGGAGGTGCTGCGCGACTCAAGTGCTCTCCACCTCGGGTACTCAGTCCATGAGTTACAGCGCAGGCGCAGTCCGCCATCCGACGAAGTCCGACGACAACACAACCTCCTCGCAGCACTCCCTCTGCGAAGACTCACCCTGAAACCGATGAACTTGCCTCCGTTCACTGTTATCCGTTTCGTTTTGACAGCAGCCACATATGGTCAACCCCGGGATTCATCCAGATGCGAGTCCGATGTCAAGATCAACGCACCGTTCGCTGACGGTGCTGCTATCGCCGAAATCGGAGATTCAACCTGACTCAAGTCGCGCTCCCACAACTCTACACAGCTTCAAGGTACTTTGACCGAGGTTTTCATTCTATTCCTCAAGGCCTCGAGGGCAAGCTTCTACACTGGTCCAGTGAACTAAGCGATATGGCCCGGGGGTTGCTATGGCAAAACGGATTGAGTGATTATAGCCCGAGCGCTCTGCTGTTGCGGTCGTGGCAGCCCGGGTCGATGACGCAGACGCCACGACCCGGTTCTGTATCGCATACGGAGTTAAGGTACGTGGAGGGCTCTAGCAGCTTGCTGTACTCAAGTTGCTCTTGAGAGGCATATTGGACATGACTCCTCGTTGAAGCACGTGCTGAAATTCGTTGATGGGTCCCGCCCTGCCGGTCCTCGAGTCACTACAACCTTTCCGGCGCTGGTCTGACTCATCCTAGGACGTAGCCACAGAGTATCGGGACGAGAGGACGACATACAAGTCTAAACGTGTCCGCCTCCGCCCAAGTAGGCGCTCCTCTCGAACGTACCGCAGCCAGCTGCGCGTGCCCTGATGTCACTGCGTCTGGGAGCTTGAGCCGGACAATGCTGCCGCAGTTATCAAATATTCTGTACGTTTCCTCCAAATACGCACCATATGTCGTACTGACTGCCGACGCGCTTCTCTCGCCCGCTCCGTATCCTACGGTGTTGTCCTAGCATGTCTCTTCCGGATCCGCGGTGTTGGTGAATAACGGCTGTGCATACGACTGTGACTCATGGCTCTGTGAACACTCGCTCGCTGTCCCAACAAGTCGACAACTTGCTATAAAGAGGCTCCCCTCTGTCGGGCAGAGTCATTCCATCCTTCTCACAACCCTTCACACACGACATCTCCGTTACCACTCCCACTTGGGTAGCCACTATCTATCATAATGGCAGAATCTTTCCGTACGTCTTCCCCGATTGCGTAGCCGTCGTCGTCGCTGACACCTTGCCTTTCCCGAACAGACTGGCGCATGCAGCTTAACAACTACCTCCAAGCCAACGGAGGAGCTCGTCTCCTAACGTGGGACGTCTACCAAAGCGGACCGCTACACCAGCCGTCGTGGACTGCTATAGCTTACAGTACGTCCTACATGAACTATCTGCTCGTTGCTCCTGGTAAATTTCGATCATTATGCTCTAGTCCGCGGCGTAGAGTACGGACGAGCATACGGCTCGTCGCAAGCCGCGGTGAAGGAGGAGGCTGCTCGCCAGACTCTAGAGGCCCTCATCCAAGACCGTCGCTCTCGAAGCTACCACTAAGCGGCGGCGGCGTTGAAAGACGTCCACCCTCCATTCGTCCTCACGTCTCTCGTCGGCCGCTGCTTTCGTGCTCTTGAACACCGCTCCCGTCATGCTGTTTCTAGTCACCGTCTCTCATCTCATAAACTCTGCCTCGGACGCTGATCATCACCACCACTTCTGATACCACGTCGTACGCTACATTGCTTTCCTATACCTCGTAATCGCCCCGCTTGTCCCTTGCCTATGTATTTCTTGGACACCGCCTCGCCCCTAGGGATGAACGCTGTATAGCTGTACGGTAGATGCCGCCCGGACCTTCTTGCACAATTGTCTTGTTGTAGACTAAGCGCTATGTGATAATGTACAGAATCAGATCGACCGTTCAGCAATTCGATCATCACCGTGGGCTGTGCTACCGGTCTCACTATGCGACACCGCCTCCTCGTGTACTCTGCTGCTAAAGTCCGTCCGTGACCCGGTCCAGACCATGTGGCAACATCTGCCCGTCTAATATCGCGAGCACTGTGTTCCTATTCGAGCGAGAGTGCCTCAAGAGAGCATAGCTTTCGGTTGTTCTTGACTCTTGTACCGGTGGGCGCAACACAAGTAGACCCTGAGGTACTCCTCGTTCCTTATCAATGGGAAAGGATGGGTTGCTCTATGATCCGGGCGGACAGAAACGGTGATTGACAATTGAGATGAGGAGGAAATACACGTCAGGGTTATATCGACGCGTCCCCGTGACCGCGGATCTTGGGCGCTTGTGAATGCATGTAGGTACTTAAAGCTTCTTGCTGCGGCCTTGACACGCGGCTATATCACGGCCGATACAGCTTCTTGGAAGATAGATTTTTTTCATCTGCACATAGATAAGAGAACGGGATTCGTAGAAGCCATCGTATACGACAAGAGTCTATCGCCAGATGGCTGGTGGCGAGCGAACACCCCAGTGAATTCCTCCACTGATACAGCAGTAGGTATCTTGTGGCAATAAATAAGGGCTCCGTTGAACGCCATACAAGTTCAATACACACAGTGAACCTTCACGGACGCCTTGCTGCCCAATTCGAACTGCCTTTTACGGTTCCCTCGGCAATTCCGTCATACTCGGACATCTGTCCAAAGACTTGTTACCTCCAATCACATACACGCATAACCCTCGTTCTATCCTTTCACGGAAACTGCCCTTATATAATCCAGCTGCCATGTTGTGTCTCCAGAATACATACGTCTTGTAGAATAGTAAGAGCCGGCGGAGACGGACGGGCGCCCGTACCTTAAGGGGCCGGATCCACCCTCACTGCCCCCAAACCCCTTCTGATACTGATCGCTCTCGGACGTATGTACGTTCAATCTTTGCGCACGAAATCGCACAGCTTACTCTATGAAAGGCGAGTGATTCAGTGCACAACGGCGTTCGTGAGTTCTCGCACTTGCGTTATCCCTGGTCTCGCCGGGAATCGCCAGTTTTCCGTTGTTATGCCCGACGTCCACATGTATTGGTCCCTATGTTGACGAGTCGTCTCCATGGACAACAAAGCAACACTTCCCTTGTGAACAGAAGCACAGCCGCGACCGAGGTCCGCTTCACGAGAGCCGCCCCAGTCTACCGGAAGCATAGCCAACGCCATGTCAACACAGTGCGACAGTCTAGGCACGTTCAATGTAACGGAGGTCAACTCAGCCTGCGAGAATACCAAGTCACAGGAATGAGGAGCGCTGCGCCGGCCGCTAGGATTTCCGGTGCACACATCGCGCATGGAACCTAGCGTTGTTCTCCGGCATGATTACACACCGTACTGTGGACACCTTGCGCCACCCAGGTGCAAAGCTTCGAGCAGGCGGCTCTACATTGATTCGTACGACGGAAAGCCGGGCAGGAGGAGACTAGACCCTCTCTAGAGTCTGCTCGATAGCCTTGTCATCCGGAGAGACATCTCTCTCCAGCTCCGTCACAGCCACAGTGCGACTCGCATGCTCGTTATAGGCAACCTGGGCGGCAAGAAGGTCGGCGCTCGCAGGAGTAAGAACTACATATTGAACATGACGTCAGAGATGACCCGCATACGACGACTACAGACGTCCTCCCAATTAATGTGCGGCAAGTACTCACCACGACTGTAGTCTGCAAACACGAGCTCGTAGAAGACTGCTGCAAGACTCGTCGCCAGGATATTCGTCAGTGCAGTGATCGCCGCGTACGGACCGCCTCCAGCCTCGAGGCCCCAAATGGTGATGGCCATGAGACGGGCGCCGAGGTCGCGCGCGGTATTCGTTGCGACTGAAACGTGCGACGAGTCAATCCATGGTTGAGTCAAAAGTGGCAATGCATCGGCGTGATTCTTAGCGGAAACAATGTACTCGCCTCCGACGCTAGAGTAGCTCCAGACCATGAGCGCACTACGTGAGCGTATCGTCAGCGCTTCGAAGGCACGTCAACGTCGGATGGAAGCGGGACAGTGAAACGTACAAAACGAAGGCGATTATCCATGGCGCCGCGACCGGAGAGACGGTATGGTTGCTCGGATCGTCGACCGCCCAGATGACAAGTCCAATCACGAAGTCCTTCGGGTGCATGAGGACGTGGCGGTGGTTCCAGCGGGCAATTGAATAGGCCGAAACTCACGCAGACAAACTCGTTCAGGAACACGCGCCCAAAACTTGTTCCTGGAGCCAAGTATATCGCGAAGACTCCCGCGGGACCACTCGGTGTGAACAGGGTGCTGGCGAGCGTCCCAGCTGCCGACAGCTCTGCTTCTACTTGCTAAGGGGGTTGCTCCATTAGCGACGGGACGTCAGGGTTGAAAATGGAGCGCTAACCTTGATGGCGTCGCCGTATTGCACATAAATCAGGAGACAGGCGCAATATGCTCCGAGGATCTGGGCGACTATGTAACTAAGGATGAAAAAGCCAATGTCCGTCAGTTTCAGACAACCTGCTTTGGTGTTCATTCTACTTACCGCAGTGCTTTCTGAGGTGAGATCCTCCTCATGATGGCAAAGGCAATGCTCACGCCGGGGTTGTAATGGCCACCGGAGGTGGGTTGGGTCACCTGTCCAACAAGTTCGGCTTGTGAAAGACCTCTCGTGAGGATCACTACGACTGACGACGAATGCCAGCACCACGCCTATTGCATATCCGATTCCAATCTGCAGCACAGACGATAAGCCTTCAGCATTGGAGGTGTTGAGCCTGAAGGCGGCCGCTGAACCGATCCCTGTTCTCTGCTGATCAGTCGACCGGTTCATTGTAGGAAGAACTCGACGTGCCCGCAAATACATAGATGAACGTCCCAACCTGTGTGCGATGCATAAATATGACCATCGATCACGAAGGACAGAAGAGGAACAACTCACGAATTCAGCCGCACATTCCGCCAACCAGTGGACATTGCGACGACGTCGTCGTTCCCAGACAATCTGTGCGTTCAACCTCGGCTTGACATCAGCAAGGTGGATGAAGTCGCGCTCTCTTGACAGGCGGGATCTGAGCATAGTAGCGTCCGTGGGCAAGCGAGGTCGTGAACCGCATTTTGCTGTCGAGCTGGCCCCCTGTTATCTGCGAGTTCGACTGGCAGGTGGGCGATGGTATCTCATGGCTAATATTGGCAGAGCCAGTACGGGTGTTGGATTTCTGGATGGCAGCCAACGACTTCTCTCGCTTGCAGTTCGAAAGACGCATGACCACACCGTAACTCCCAATCCGCGAAGTCGACTACCAACACCAATGTACCCCACATGGGCAACGAAGCAGACAGGCTAGCCCTTCGGTCCGTTGTCCCTGCTCTCGTATGAGCTTTCGGTGTGTTACTGGTAGATGTCTAAGCTGGCGGTGCAGACTGTTGACCGTTTACTGTAGCACGGTGACTTTCGGCATAGAGGAAAATGGATAGATGACGTGAAGACGCAGTCATGGGAGAGCTGTTCAGGGCCGCCCTGTGAGCAATGGAAGACGGTGTATGTATAGCTCAAGCTCACAGACCCAGCCTCGACCCCGATACTTGAAAGCTCTATAGCAGCATTGGCAGGTGAGTGTGACAGTGGTCGGAAATCCGACCTAAGGCCTTTCCTTGGTAGAAGTCACATGGAACACGGGCAGAGTGTGGTTTGTGGGATGGCGCTGAGTTATGATAAGACCCTTCTCTTAGTACCGTAAGCAGCTCAACGCGAAGGAGGTAATAACACAAGGGGAGGAGGGGGTCGAGGTGTGATGATTTTCGAGCTCTGGGCGTCCCCGATGCAAATTTGCTGCCGGACGTACCGACCCGACGGGAATATCAGGATGCTTGGCCATCGGACGAAGGCCTTCTGCAACGCTGTAGACAGGAGATAGCAGTTACAGAAGCTTGCATATCGGTAGGCCCTTTCAAATGAAAAACACGCTCAAGTTGGTCTCGTACCCAGACGTATGGGTGTTACACCCGCACCCCACCACCGCGGTCACCCAGACGTCTGGGGCAGTTTGATAGAGAGGTCCTACCTCCCCCCTATTTCAAATTCCCGAGCCCGCGTAGATGAGATAGCTTGCGCGCTTACATGTCCAGGCTCCATGATTAAGCGCTGTGATGAGCAGTCCGGTCGCCTTGCAAGCTGTAGAACTGGTAGTAGAACCCCTCACTTTGACATGAATTGCAGTAGATGTGTTGAGGATAGAACTCGTGAGTGAATTGCCCCCAAGGGATAGCTTTGCATTGGGTTTTGCGCCTGTGACAGGGCAATCTGCTTGGCACCACAGGAATTTGTGACTATAAGCTGATAGCTGCAGGCGAGAAAATACTGTGTTTGTCCAGAGAGCTCCTTTTCTGCTCATACATAATTCAATATT